CTACCAGCCCAATCATTTTTCATGTGATTCTTCTTTGTCTTCCTGCTTTCGTTGCGCTGTTTTCCAGACTTCCTGCGATTCTTCTTCCCCTTCCCAACTGGCTGCAATTCAAGCTTCCGAACTTCAGCAATTTCAAAGCCATCGCAACCAATTCCAAGGCACGCATCCAGCACTCCGGGCGATTATCAAGCGCAAAACGCTCAACAGGATCAAGAACGTGGCCTTTTTGGGCGTCAAGAACCACCACGTGGTCTAAACTTTCACCTAGGTCGTCCAGAGCGACGATTCTTATTAAGAAAGTGCCGTCTACCTTGTTGACCATCCACTCCACAAGACTTTCCAGCACGGGGACGCTGCATTTCTTGAGGCGATACCTCCCGAGATGCTTTTCATTCCAGGTCTGTAACTCTGCAAGGCTTCGAGCTTTGATGGGTCCTTTGCGGAGCATTCCAAGTGCCGGATGTTCTCCTACAATGGAGTGTAGCGCGTTAGCGAAGGAAGCACGCACGCACTCGCTGTGTGTTGCATGGCAGAAGAGTGCCTGGTGCGTATGATAAGGCCTAGTGAGTCCGGTGGCTTCGCGATGCCCGGGACCCCCAATAACAACGAAATCGTCTTGATGACTGGTACAGTACTCGTCCAGCCATTCCAAGGCTTGTGCTGTCTTCTGAGTACCAAAGACGAGCTCAACTTCGAAGTTCCCCTGCCCCACCCGGACAAGTCACTTCCATGTCGCTGGTAACTGGGCTTCCTGACGAATCGAATACGGACAACACGCTGGCCTGGAGGGTATGGAATTCCACTTTCCAAAAGCTTGCGCCCGCCAACGCTCCGATGTGAAGCGTAGTACTGACCCGGGCGGAAGCCGTAAGTCCTTCCGGAAGCCATCACCACCCTTCGAACCTCCCAGCGGCGCTGCTCGTGCTCCGACACGCCCATTGCGTTAAGTAAGCCCCATCTCTTCAACAACGCAACCTCAAAAACCCTCCCTCTCCTATCCGACAGCCAACGTTGAAGAACCTTCGATGTTTCCGTCCCGTGCTCAGCCTCTGAGCAATCCTCTCCCGACTGAAGGTGAATTGGAGGCCCCGGGCCACGACGAGGACTTCACTAGACCTCCACTTTCCTCCGAGCCACGCCATCATCTCGACCGCAAGCCTCCCCTTACCCTCAACGAGCCACAGGCCTGCCATCACGCAACGAAGCGCACGACCCCCGATCCCTGGCCTGCCGGCACTCTTTAGGTTCGAGGAGATCGCGCGGTGACTCGCGGAGGAAACGGCCCGTCGTTTGTGGAAGCTCGGAAGTGGGGAAAAACGGCGCGCGGGAGTGATGGCGGAGAAGCGGAGCGGCGATGTAGTGTGAGAAGCGGAGCGGTGATGCGATGCGCGAGGTCAACCAGCGGAGCGGTGAAACGGTGCGCGACGTCGAGCGGCGGAGCAGCGATGCGGTGCGCGAGATCGAGGGGACGCTGAACTGAGCCAGTGTATAACGAGGGCTGGCGGTGGGAGTGCGCAGGTGGTGACTACTGGAAGCTGTTGGTCCGCGGTGGATTTGGGGGTCCGAAAGGGCGCGGCGAGAGAAGGGGGGAATAACTCAACAAGCAAGCGCCCTTACCCTACGCAAATCCAGAAGGCCGCCTTGTCAGGACAAGAGATCGAGTACCGAGCAGCGGCGGCGCGGCGTCAGATCCATATAGGGTTGGCGCCGACGGCGGATCAGCCGGCACCGCGTGCCCCAATTTTAGGGCCAACAGGGGGTGTGTAGGAAGATAGCAATTGCAGTTTATTTGGATAGCCCTAAATCTGGGAAAAAGGGAAATTTTCCGTTTGACGCGCCGGCAGGAAATCCGGATATATTAAAATCCGAGGGCGGTATCCCGACCGACCCTCGGGGGTAACTTGCTACCCTCCGACAGCGCCGGCGAAAAGTCTCGAGACTCGACATCCGAAGTATCCCCATCCCCCTCGCTCTCGCGACTCCTTTCCCCCGCCGCTGCGTGCGACGAGCGCGGCTACTACTAACCTCATCGTTCCCGTTCTCCCACAATTGTACCATTCTTCTAAGAGCATATCCACCGGGCAGCCAGAATGTTGCTATTTCTAGGACACTTGTCCCACTCTTAATTGGTAATTTTCTTTGGGCATTCTGTATAGAAAATATCGCAAATTGCGTCGTCGCAATTCTTGGGCGGAACACCACCGCCCAGGTAGGTCTTTATTTCTCGCCATGGAGCGAGCCTCTACACGAGCTCGACAGCCTTGAGGTTGCTGCAAGGTGCTGTAGCAGAGTTCTATCCTCGCACACAGTACGCAGCCTGCTTTTTGCAGTAGAACAGAGACCATCAGAAAGCGCGGATAGTGTTCCGGTGTTCCGGAAAGTGCCCACTCAAATATGCCTCCGTCAGTTCCCGCGTGAATCGTGTTTCGGTCGCCAAACTCAAGCATAATTCACAGTCTTGTTGCGCGGCAGCAAAAACCAAAAACAGGCATTTACTTTGCGGACAACGTTATTACATGCATTACGTACTAGTGGGGTACCCCCTAAGTTGAACATGATTAGAAAAATAAATGTAAAAACAAGAAGCAAGCGGCATCGGAGAAAATTTTTTGACTGTTTGGAAAACTGACAGTCTCCACGTACCTGCTTTTCTGATCTCAGGAGCCAAAAGGCTCATACATCGGCAAGAACGGCGTCTTTCGGTCCGGGTATCGGAGAGGTTGCAACCACAGAAAAAGCACCCATTATTTGCACGGACATTTCACTGGCTGATGCATTTCGACATTGCAATTTTTAATTCTAATTGCTATTCGGGGACGGTGCAACCTCCTGTGCTGCCTTCTTGAAGATTGCGGCACGCCGAGCGGAAGTTCTCTTCTTCGCAATCTGGCGACGTACCAACAGAGACCTGGGATAAATGGTCGCATCCTTATAATGGTGCACACGGAAAGCAAGCGCTTTCTCCCGTAGCGTTAAGCGCTGTGCTCTAGTCCGCTCCACAGCCTCAGCTGCACGTTGCGCTACATCGGCCTCCCTCTCCTGCCTTACTGCCCGCCTAGCTCTTCCCATAGCGTCCTTACACCTTGCCAACTCCATCGCGACATCCGTTGTCAGGGTCAACCCAGCCGATGTGTCAACATAACCGCATTGTAGCACGCGCGGTTGTACGCCTAAACTATCCTTGTACACCAAGCGTTTCTTTTCTAGCATTTCCTTCATTTCCGAGACTGTCGCCAAAGATGTGTTATTGATAGAACACTGCGGACGGGGCACGTCGATGAGGGCACCAGCATTGAGTGGCCATATACCAGATTTCGTAAAAGCAGAGGTCACATGTGCTCGCGCGAACGCCTTGCCATATGCCTCTCGCATTACCTTCATATAGTCAAACACGTCGTAGCTCTTCCATTCTGTAGGGGAAGAAAGCTGTTCGACACAGCTGCGAATGTGTTCTTTAAATGGACCGAAAACCCCAACATCCAGAGGTTGGGTTGTGCCGCTTGTATGCGCAGGCAATGCGTATACCACAATCCCAGCTTGCTTCAGAGTATGTAGAACCCGGTACCCCATATGGCTTCGATAGCCATCCAAAATTAAAAGAACCTTCCTGCCATTTACTGTGAGGTCCTTGACATCATCCGCAAAATATTTTGCCCAGCGCAGGAAGTTTTTGCTGTCCACCCCAGCCACATCCTCTCTTGTGGTTATGACACTTCCTCGAGGAAGACAATCGGCAACCGTCTCCATGACAGGTGCCCCATTGAGCTCAACAGTGCCATACTTTAGAGATTTACCCTCGACAACAAATAAAGGGCGACCAACATCCCCATTGGCAAATATCACGGGCATGACTGTTATTCGTTTAACATTCCTAAACTCTGGTGATCTCTGAAGAGACTTCTGTCCTCGAGCACTGTAGGACTTTCTTCTATTCGACTGTGCACAATCTTTGCTTGGTGTCATACCACTTTCGTCTAGGTTGGCAATGCGCGAAGAGTCCAAGTTGTACACACGAATTAGCCGTTCCAATTCTGCAAAATGGGTCGTCAGATTTTCGGCATTGGTTGCTTTCCAGCGAGTCTCTTCCTCTGTAGAGGCCCTTCCGAATTTGATCTTTTCTCGGTGGCGCTTAGAAAAGAGTGATAGAAACTTTCGTCCAGGGCGCCCCTCAATAAAAGGTATTGTATTCTGGCGTTCGGCTGAAAACGAAGTCACCATCAATTGGACAGCATCTGCGACGTCTGTCCGTTTGAGGGGGAAGCCGCGGCGAGAGTACGAAAGAACAAGGTCAACAATGACTTGCTCCTCATCGGGGGATAGGTAGGTGCGTGCTTTTTTTGATTCACCTCTGTGTGCGAATCTGTACTGAAAAGTCGCCAAAGGGAGCCGGGCAAGTCGGGCAGCCTCGCGCCTAGTTGCGCCATTATCGATAGCAATGACGGCTCGGTTGAAGTAGTGCTCTTCTTTCCTCTCGCGACTGGTCTTCTTGGTCATGGTGTGGTGGCCGTGGTGTGAGGAGAAGCGGAATGAGCTCTAATGCCCCAATTTGCACCGAGGTTTCACCAAAGTTTGTTTTCCGATGGCAAAAGGGCGCCAAGTCGGATTCTGCATGTCAAATTGTGCCATTTGCATTTTTGAACGATTTACGTCATTGTCACTGAACGTTTTTCACTCAAAAGTAGAGTCCTTTACCGGTAGAAGCTGAATCACAATAAAATTTGCAATAAAGTTTTTGTTCCAGTGATGGGTGCTCTGTTCAAGAAAGGGGGGCATGTACGGGTACAGTACTTTATGTGTATGTACAGGACAAGTACAGTTTGTACAGATGTGAACAAATACCAGTACTGTTGCAATTGCGCATGCCGGGCGGTCTATGGAAGGCTTACACCGTCTGTGTCGTGGCAGTGAGCTTACACTGCGCGGCAGGTGTTCCGATTTCAGACCAAAACGCCCTGTCCGCAGGCCGCAGGCCAATGTCGGTACATCTCGAATTGAACTCGTCAGCCGCTACAGCGATCGGGCGCGTACGAAGTACCGAGGAACGGGCGTGGGGGTATCAAAGAGGTTGCAGCGGTCGTGTGTGAGGAGTGTCGGTGTCCGGATGAATGGGCGTGTGAGCATCGGGTCAAAAGGGAATGCAGAGCGTGAAGGGGCGTCGGACCTGGGATAGTGTAGAATTGGAGCAGCCTCGCGTCCATTTAAGAGAGGAAAACACCCACAGGAAAATAGAGGACATCATCAACATCAGGGAGTGTTGAGCAAGAGGCAACTGATCCGTTGCCGCGACTGTGAGGGCTGTGTGACTGGTTTGTCGCTGTTGCCATCGTCGCTGTGTGGCTGTGTCGCTACTGATTGTGCTGTCGCGTGGTAACTACTCTAATCTTAAACTACGTGCTGTTTTGTTTGTACTACAGAATCGAGAGTGCTACTGAGCTCGCGGCGGCTGTTCTGCTATACGCGCTTGCGGGAGACCAACCTGCAACAGTACCCTTGGTACTGTACAGTATCATAAATTGAAGCACAACGGTCGTATGCGGACGTTGTAGTAGAGCAAACGGGTGTTAAGAAATGAAGACCAGAGATGCTTTCGTGTTTCGAAAGCATTGCAAAGCCAGAAAAATAAAGTTGAAAAGTGACCTCATATGTGAACAGTATCCGACCCCAAATTAACTTGAACGTTTAAAAAGCTATCTTGGACAATTTCCCTAACGCACTTGTTATTGGCAAAAACATCTTGCAGAACACCGGGATAGCAGCTTTGAGTAGGCAGAACGACAGATTGAATACCAAGTTTCTTGTTTGAACTGGCGTCTTTGGTTTCCAAGTTGTTTTACATGCGGTTTTAGGGTGGTTTGAAAATGCTCATTTGCCAGACATACCGTATCTAAAAATGACCAGGAACAACATGCATTTCTCACAAACTTCACTTAGTCAAGTACTGTGGCGGGGGTATCTTTTTCTTTCTTGTCGAGGAAGCGCAAGTCAAGAAAAAGATAACAACGGTCCGATAGACACCAGCACTAGCTGCCTCTCGAGAGGTAGTAGGGAGATACCGGGCAGCAAACGTGTGCTCAGTACTACAGGCGCGTTACAGTACGGAAGGTGTCCTGATTTTTAGACTCACATTAAACTCACTTATCAACCTCGGCCCCCGCTCTCACATCTCATCCGTATCGATCCCGAGCAGCCGCTCCCACACTTCAACCAACGCCTCCTCCGCGCGTCTCTCCTCCTCGGCCGCCGTCCGCACGGCCTCCGCCGCCTTCTTAACCCACCGCTCCTGCTCGTCATACATCCCATTCACCACCTTATACGCCTCGCCCGCCTTCCGATGCAGCCCGACGATCCTCGCCCTCGTCCCCGCCCCCTCGACAGTCTCGAACCTCTGCAGAATGCCCCACCCCTCTCTCTCCCTCCCGCCCCACCCCTCGCCCTCACCCCACTCCTCCTCGCCCTCAATCACCCCGCCGCCGCGCATCCCCATCCCCTTCACGTACGCGTACCCCTTCCCGAACTCCTCCTCCACCTCTCCCCACAGCTGCTTCACATACCGCACCCTCATCTCGGCCCCGACCTGGCTGGGCAGCCCGCCTCCGCCCGTCCCCTCCTGCGCCCGCATCGCCTCCTCGAGGTGCTGCAGCACCATCTTCAGCCGTCCCTCCACCACGTATAGGTGCCCGAGCCCCGTCTTCGCGTCCACGTACGCCCGCCGCACCAGCATCCCGCCCTTCCACCGAGCCCGCCCGTCGCGGTCGAGCACCCGCGCCGCCTCCGCCGCCGCCTCCGCCGCCGCCCCGCAGTACCTTCGCCCCACCGCCGCCCACGCCCCGCCCTCCGCGAACACCGCCCGCAGCAGCCCCAGCCGCTGCGCAAACCCCGTCTCGCACTCGTCGAGGTCCGCCCGCGTGCGCGCCATCCGCCTCCCCACCGCCCGCGCCGCGTCGCGCGCCTGCTCCAGGTCCGCCTCGCCCTTGCCCAGCGTGCGCCGCAGGCTGCGCCGCCGCCCGGTCCGCAGGGGACCCGCCGAGCCGCCGCCGCACCTCCTCCACGCGCTGCTCCGTCTCCACCACCGTTTTGTCCAGGTGCCGCTCCAGCTTCGCCTGCGCCGCCAGCTCGCGCCGCAGCTCCAGCCGCGTCCCCTTGATGTATACGCTCCGCTTCACGTCGATGTACCGCGCCCGCAGCTTGTGCACGAGCTCCGCGCTTGGCGCACCCGACTTGTGCGTCGGCGACGCGATGTACGCACGCCCCAGCTCGCCGCGCGCCCCGTTCCAGAGAGAGAGGTCCGCGTCGATGCTGCGCAGGAAGGTTGCTGTGGAAGCGGCCAATGGCTCGCGTTCGCGGATCGAGCCGGAGACGATGCTCAGGCTCTCGTAGTACGGGTCCGGGTGCACGGCGATGTACGTCGACAGGTTTATGGCCTGTGCTTTTGGCATCGTGGCATTCGCCTGCGGGAGGGATGTGCGCCGGCGCAGGGCGGATGCTGCCTGATCGATAGTCTCTTGAGTGGAGGGAGGGAGGGAGGGAGGGAGGGAGGGAGGGAGGTGTAGCACCGGGATGGGAGTGGGGCTACATCGATTCAGGAGTCTAGGTCACAGGCAGTGGCGTCCAACGCGGTTGCAAGTTCGCTGTCTGCTACAGGCCGTATTGCGAGTCGGGGTGTAGATGCTGCCACGAAATCGATGGGATTCATAACACCTTCCTTCGGCAACTGAAGCTGAATGATGCGTGGGAGGCGACAGGTGATGTATCGCTTTAAAGCGCGGGGGATGCTATAAACTGGTATACTGCATACCATTATGCCCTCTTTGATTCAAATGCGTTCGCACGAAAGAGGTTGGCCAACTTTACATGACGAGAAACAGACGCATCCGTTTTGATAATCACAGTGCTACGCAACACGATTACCGTGCACACTCCGAAGACTGCGATAACATCATTCAATATCCGAGAGTTCCACCGGCCCCTTCAGCCCTGAGCGGGTGATGCGTCGATAGTAGGCGCGTGCCAAGGCCTCGCACTTGACGAGGTGATTGACGCCCTCGGTCTGGTAGCAATGCTGCGCGCGGGGCAGTCGCGTTCGGACAAAACACGGGGGTTCGTTAGCATTAGATGCGGAAGGCAAGCGGTTCCCGCGTGTGATGAGGGGAATGTTGAACAAACCGCTAGTCGCTCGCCGAGTATCCTTGTCTCCTCGATGGCGACCATCGCCTCGCGCGCCCTTTGCTCGCGCTGCGCGTATGAAAACCGTGCGGTAGTAGAGAGAATGAGTAAGTGAGCCGTTACTTGGGGCGCTCATCTGGCATCGCGTCGGTAGGAAGCAGGGAAGAAAGGACGTACGGCAAGAGCGATCTGGAAGGGATCGGCGCCCGGATCGTCCGGGCGCACATCCGGAACCGGCTTGAACTCGCGCTTGACTTTGCGCTCCGGCATGGCGAGTATTCCAAGGGTTGTGAGCAGCAGAAGGGAAACGGTTTGCTCTGTTGTTGACCGAGGAAGAAGCGGAGAGGCGCAATTGGAGCGAGGATCGGTTTGGCGAAATGTGAGACCAGAGATTTTGTGATGTACACGTGGCGGTACGTGTACCGTTGTAAATATGCGAACAGGCCGGAGGGAGACCAAGTGCGAGAGTTCTGTGAACGCCGACCCTGCAAGCACGGGATAGTCAGTGCGGACATCATTGCGAATGGACAGCTGCGCCTCTCCTGGGGAATAAAGGGAGCGATGCGCTTTCGCGTACGGTCCGGGGCTTCAGTTGAGCAGAATACCAAGGGCCTTTTCAATAAACAAGGCAGGATTGGTCGTTCTCCCAAGAAGGTTTGATAAACTACTAGTTGGATAAGGCGAGGAAAGATACGAGTGAGAGCAGAAGGAGGAAGCGGTCTTCGTTTGCAAGGCAGTGCTTAGTATGGTTGTTCCTCGACACAGCGCTCCAGGCGACGATCAGGTAAGCACAACCGCATGGTGGCGATGAATAATGCTCTAGGTCAGCGTTATGTAGAACTGCACGACGCGATTCCAGGGATGCACGGTCCAGCAGCCGTGATCCATCATAGATGAGGGCAGCTGGTTGCAATAGTTTTCACATATTCTTGCGTGCAAGACTAGTCTCCTCAAATGATCACGTAGATCAGCGGCATTTCTTGAAAACAAGGCGTCTTGAAAACAAGGCGTCTTCAAAACGCGCTTAGAGTAGTGAACAGAAGAGTCGGAAAAGTTGCTTGCAATACGTTGCCGTGCGGTACCGATTGCAGTATCCTCTTGCAATATGATCAACAGAAGGAAAGGATTGGACATTTGTTCTTCAGAAATTATCATGAGTGACAGCATCTCTAGCATGCGAGGGCTGCAAACGTTTTAGTTTGACTGTTCTCGGTACTACCGGCAAGGAACACCCAGACTGACGCATGTCGAAAATATGGATGTGTAAGCGTCAATGTAGACTGAGTGTACATTGACGCTGCGAGACGCTCAGTGCAGTGTACTACACTGAGAGCGTCTCGCAGTACCCGCCTCGCCGCCGATCCATAAGTAGAAGAGTCGAGCTGTCCTATTGTCTAGGTGACAAATGACCTCATATGAGGTCACTTTTCAACTTATTTTTCTCGACTTGTGCTAGCTCAACAAGATGGAAAAAAGATACTCTCGACACGGCAGTTGACTTCTGCGTTGTGGAAGGGTGGAGTTTGGTGAGATCTGCACGTCTTCTCCAGCCATTTTTAAAATGCCCAAAAAGGAGCCTTTTTTGACCAACCTCAAAACGTTTTATGTTGATATCTTCGAAACCAAAACGCCTGTTTAAAAAGTCAACTCATCATTGATAGTTCATTAGATTCTTAGTCTCTCTGTGCATTGACAACCGCCATCCCAATGTTCTGCAAGATGTTATTGCCGAGCGCGTATACGTTAAAGAAATGGTGTCCAAACTGAATGTTTTAAAGTTTCGATTTAATTTATATATTTTTGCAAAAAAAAAGCTGGCCTCATATGAGGCCATGACTGACCTCATATGAGGTCAAATTGCTTGTCGTCTAGACACTATCCCGCTTCCTCTCCTCCCCATGTCTATTTCTCTCAGTAATCATAAAGGCGGTGAAGGCAACTTTACTGCATTGAACTGCAAGGTACTGTACCCTTGGTACTGTACCCTTGGTACTGTATTGTACGGAAACTGGTTGCTGTAGAACGGGCATCTTACAGTAGAGGGCTCTTCAGTGTCTTTTAATGAGGGGATTTACTGTAATTGTGATAGTGATAGACGAAGATGCTCTTATAGCAAATAAAGCCAATCCAATTTTGTCCGCATCACTTTTGTTGTTTGGCGGTTTGGCGAAGCTACAGCATTCAGCGGGAATCCCTAACCATTGTACGGGGTATTGAAAGTATCCGGTGACCTTGAAAGTCAACGTGTCGCACAATGTGTTGTATCAGATCCATGACATTGTCCAAACTTTAGAGCTGATCGCGGGTGCAGCATTCGATTCTGAGACACGAGCGGCCACCGGGGAGTTGCACGCAGATCGGATACCTTTTGCTCATCATTCCACGACCTCAAGGTACTACTGTCTCTCCGGCGAACAGGCGAAACCCTCAAACATGTCAATCGTGCAGCCGATTGACGTTGAAAAGCACGTTGCATTTATCCTAGGACTCGAACAGAAGACGCAATCCTCGGACGCCCTCTACTTCACGGACCACAAAAGGCTATCCGGCGTGTACTGGGCGATATCCTCCTTATCGCTATTGAAGCGTCTCGACGATCTCCCCCGCGATCGCATCCTGGACTACGTCATGACATGCTACAACCCCACCATCGGTGCCTTCGCCGGCAACACCGACCAAGACGCGCACCTGCTCTACACCCTCTCGGGCATCCAGATCCTCGCCATCTACGACAACCTTTCCCTCATCGACGTGGACAAAGTCGTCTCCTACATCCGCGGCCTGCAGAAGCCGGACGGCAGCTTCGCCGGCGACGAATGGGGCGAGATCGACACGCGCTTCAGCTACTGCGCGTTGCTCAGCCTATCAATTCTCAACCGCCTGGACGCCGTGGACGTCGACGCCGCGGTGGCCTTCGTGCTCTCGTGCCAGAACTTCGACGGCGGCTTCGGCTGCATCCCCGGCGCGGAGAGCCACGCCGGGCAGGTGTTCTGCTGCGTGGGCGCGCTCGCGCTCGCCGACGCGCTGAGGAGGATCGACGCGGAGCTGCTCGGCTGGTGGCTCTGCGAGCGCCAGCTGCCGTGCGGAGGGTTCAATGGACGGCCGGATAAGCTCGAGGACGTGTGCTACTCGTGGTGGGTGCTCGCTAGCTTGGCCATGCTGGGGAAGGCCGACTGGGTTGATGCGCGGAAGCTGAGGGAGTTTATTCTCGCGTGTCAGGACGAAGAGGACGGCGGGATTGCGGACCGGCCCGGGGATATGGCGGATATTTTTCACACCTTCTTCGGGTTTGCGGGTCTCTCGCTGATGGAGGAGGAGGGGTTCGAGAAGATTGATCCCGCTTTTGCGCTCGCGGAGAGTGTCGTCGCTCGCATTGGAGGGGGATGAGCGTTGGGTGACGACACCCGGTTATGCCAAGAGTATCCTGCTGCTGCGAGGTTGAGAATCTACCACTGAAAGGATTCCTGGAATCAAGCATTTAGCCAGCTCAGTTGAAGCACGGGCAATGGTGAGAGTGCAATGTTCTCTGGAGGGAGACGAAGGTGTGTGCAAGAATTGAGGACAGCGTTGTTGAGTGAGTACTGTACAGGGGGGCCTACGCATTAGTGCCGCCCCGTGCGAGACCCCAAAAAGGTGCACTATTGGGAATCTGCATTACTGCGTGCCATTGTCATACCTATCTGCATGCACTCGGTAATCAACGCTTGCCTGCTCTGTGATGGTTTTCTGATGTGTTTGGCAATGAGAAATGCGCGCTTCGCAGACCTTAGATGCGACAGAGCGTCTTGAACTTGGCACTCAGTCGCTAAATGTTCCAGCTCTCCAAACAATTTTGCGATCTCGACGACATGGGGTATAGTCTTTTTCACTATTGCGTTTTCGGCGCTCTCATCTTCATCACTTGAATGCATTTCAGGCGGATTCTGCACCACCTGAATCGTCTCCAAAACATCCATGGCGTGATTGACAGTCGCCTCTACCACCCCATCATCTGATTCAATATTTCAAACCCACCGCTCCACATCCTTTCTCTCAAAGCTTCGTCTCCCCGTGCCAAGTGACTCAGAACAAACGTTCTGATTTGTTCTGAGTGATTTTGCGTACGGTGCGCTCTGCAATTCCAAACTGTCGCATGACCGCTAGTGTACTGTGTCCATTGCGGAGCAGATCTGCGATTTCGAGCTTCTCCGAAATTTTCAGGCGCTTGCGCGTGGCTTGTTTTCCTGTAACTGGAGCCATAACGAGCAGAAGCTAAGATCCGTCAGCGATATTCGGTGGCGTGAGGAGGATCGGAATGGAAAGCAGCTTTTACATGTACGACACTTTTACTGATGCCACTGTCAACAGTGGCGCCCGCGATTTCGGGTTGTTTTTTCATTTTTGCTTTTTGCTTGTTTATTCATGCAGAAACTGAGAAACTTCATGATTCTTCATGAAGAAACGACTTCAGACAATGGTAGCCACGACTTACACGTTACATCGCCATGATGGAGATGGGCTACAGGGACCCTAGGAAGGCATGGGGGATCTCGATTTCGATGGTTGATCGCGACTATCGGTGGGTCGCCTGAAGAAGGCCGAAGTGGTGATTTTTTCATTTTGCAGCATTATCTGGCAGTTTTTGCGCGCAATTGCGCGCAAAAACATGATTTAATGAAATCGCGGGGCATAACCGCCGGATCCGTATGACACGTGGCACTTTCCGTGTCTGTGCGTCTGGGCCTGCACTATTGGGAGGGTGGCACAACTGCAAGCGGCACTAATGCGTAGGCCCCCTGTACCGGATTACGCGTCCAGCTGCAACACGTGTGTAGGTGGCCAGGGTTGCCAGTTCCTTGCACGAATAGAAAACGTGTACACGTAAATCACAGACGTTGAATCAGAACACTGCTGCGCCGCAGGGCGCTATTGAGTTTACAGCACATACAAAACATTTTTTATCAATAAATTTGGTCTCCTTCCGGATGCTTTACAGCAACCCTTTCCCCGTCGTCCGCCTGCTGCGGTGATGGCGGTGGCGTAGCTTTCCCGTCCCTTTCTTCCTCTGACTACCATCCCCAGCTGAACTCTCGGCAATCCCAGCTCCGGGCTCTCACAATGGCGCCATCACCGAAGCTCCGCTCGTCCAAGAAAAAGTCCGCGTCCCGCTCGCGAGCTTCGGAACGCACCGCCGCCGACGCCTCCCCGCACGCCGTCGACAAGAAGCGAAAGCAGCCGAAGCCTTCTTCTCGTAGCACGCCCGACGGAGCGAGTGACGCTCCCCCAGCTCATCCGCCTGCTGCCACGGCAGACAAGAAGCCGGGAGTTGCCAAGCCACCCGATGAGCCTGACCGCAAGGAGAACACACCCCGGTCTGGGCGGAAGGGGAGGGCCGTCAAGCGCGCCGCGGAGAGCGCGGGCGGGGACGCTGACGCCGCGAAGGTGTCATTGGACGCTGCTGGCGATGAGGCTCGGTCCCTGGAAGACGGCTTCGCTGCTGTGAAGCGGGAAGCGAAGAAGGCGAAGCGTCGCAGTGGCTCGAAGGAAAAGAAGCAAGAGACGCCGAAAGTCGCGACTAGGGTGAAGAAGACCGGCGCCGCCGCAAAAGCATCAATTGTGAACAAGTTCAGCCTTGAGCCCGATGAGCAGCCCGCCAAAAAGAGCAAGAAGGCGAAGGCCACGAGGCGCGCACCACCCGGAGAAAGTCCAGACGTCGTCTTGAATAGGCGCATGACGAAAGATAAGCTTTCCCTTTTAACGCGCTCCCCTCTTTCGCACCTGGTGTCGGAGGAGGACAAGGACGCTGCGGCGCAGCAGGTTTACGGCCAGGGCGCATCGTTTTCCACGCATGTCAAGCGGAAGCTGCAGAATGCAGATGTGGATGAGATCATTCCGCTCGACTCTTCCCAGCCGCCGAAGAAGAAGTCCAAGGATGCCAATGCGGATGCGAAAGACCTCGCCGAGCTGGTGGCCCGGCGGAAGGAGAGGAGGATAGAGAAACGCCGACTGCGCAAACTGCGCAAGAGCGGGGCACGCGAGGAAGAGAGTACGCCAACAGAAAGTGGGGTCATGTATCTCGGTCACATCCCTCATGGGTTTTACGAGGAAGAGATCAGAGGCTATTTCGCACAGTTCGGTAGAGTCACCGCTGTTCGTTTGAGTAGGTCGAAGAAGACAGCGCGCAGCCGCGGTTATGCTTTCATTGAGTTTGAAGACACGGAGATTGCGCAGAAGGCTGCGGAGTCTATGGACGGGTACCTTATGCATGGACAAAAGCTGGTTGCTAAGGTAGTTCCACCGGAGAGGCTGCACCCTGAAACCATGAAAGGAGCGGAGAGAAAGTTTAAAAAGGTCAAGTTTTCAACCGTAATGCGCAACGGCCTCATTCGAAGATCAAGAGATCCGCTCAAGCTCGCACAGCGTTCTAAGCATGTGCAGAAAAAGTTGCATGGGAAGAAGGCACGGCTAGAAAAGATGGGTCTGAAGTACCAGTTTCCAGAAATTGCATCCGATGGTCAGTGATGAAGTAGGTCTAGAATGATGTTAAAGATTTCCAAGCCTTGTCGTACTACCAGGATCCATTGCACAAGTTTCCTAGA